TCCATTTAAATGCGATCCGATTATGAATGTACTATCTAATAATTCAAAAATTCAAAATTAAGGCTCAACTATCACTAACTATAGCTTATTTCAATAAATGCAGTATTCCCTTTGCGGTCAAAATGCTTATCATCGAAATAAACCTAAGGAATTGCTATAAAACTGATTTTTCGTATTTCGCGCATTGAATAGTATAACAGTTTCTACAAGCTAAACCCTTTCTGTAACGTGCGAAAACTATTATGCATGTTAACTACAGTGGCGTAGCTACGGTGGGGCAAGGGGGACATCTGTCTCCGGGCGCAGCATCCAAGGGGCGCCAAATTGATGCTACGAAATTTTTTAATGAAATGTTTCCCATTCTTGGCACACAGAAAAGGGCGCAAATTCTTCAGATGTCCCCGGGCGCTGGAAACTCTAGCTACGCTCCTGTGTAACTAAAAAATAGCAAAATCTATCAAGGAAATATTCAATATTCTAGTGTTTTTCGTGACAGCAGATGCGCACCAAGAGAAGAACTTTCAAGGTACGTCTGATCGTACCGAGAAAACGTATACAAATGAAGCACGTTAATTATTTGGATAACAGGCCGGCTCATGAGTTTTAAACATAATCTAAGCACGACACCTATGAGTACGGCGAACAGGTCACGAATACGAACAAATGGCAGGTTAGATTAAGTTGATCCTAGAGCAAGTTCGATCTGAAGGCCTTTACGGAGTGTCCCAAGGACATGCGCGCCGAAATGAATGGCCCACGATCATGTACTATGAATTTATTTTACTTTTTAAATAATGAATCTTACTTCTAACCTTGCTGCTTCCGGGAAAGAAATTGATTTAAAATTGATTGATAAATGAGCGAACATATTTCTAAGTAGAATGTTCCTAATATTGAAATAACGAGTTTAAAATACTAATTTATAGAACACGACAAGAAAATGCTAACTAGTCGGTACGAAATAATATTTAAACTGAAGCCAATGTATTTTTCGTTCACTACCACGCACCCAAGATGATAATGTTTCCGATTGATTTGCTTTTGTTAGTCATTTAATCGATCTACAGTTCTATCCCAGATTGTTTAACCTTTTTGAAAGAAATCTTAAAGCAGTCACGTTTCAATTATTTATACACGTCACTAATGTAGGTTTAAATATTATTCCGATGGAAAGCAGAAGAAGATTGCTTATGTTGCTTGAAATCCAAATATAGAGTTAGACATTGCCTTAAAATACACAATAAAAAGCGAATACAAATAAAAACTAACTTAAATGTTTACTTTGTACATACAATATACAAAGGCTTAAAACTGAAATGCAATAATAAAATTCCATCCGTACGCTTAGCTACAAGATCTGTTTCAGCGAATTCCTTTTCACAATAGCGTCGTTTCGGTTGACGTAGCAAATGGAATGAAAATGATGCTGCGGCTGTCAAAGATTGTTTGTTCTCCACTGAAAGCAAATTTAACAGCATTTATTTAAAAATAATATTATTCATTAAGCAAAAAATTGCTTCTCATTTAAAAAGAAATGAGTTTCACAGCTAAAGTCTCCATTGTATATGATGCCTGGCTTGTAATTGTATGTCCAAATTATATGAATAACTCAGGCCTGTATTCTATGAAAGTTTAAGTCGGCACTACGTTTAAAGCCCTTTTTCGGCCGAGACAGTAATTGTTTCATTTTATTTATTTACTTTTCGATGTTTAAAACCATAAAATAACACTGTTAGAGAAAACAGTAAATAAATTACAGAGAATTCTCAATTATTTAAACCAATTAAGGCACAAGAATATACCGATAACAGGGAAACACGAATTACCCAAATTGGATTTATCCGATAGGTTCCTGTATACCCCCACCTAAAAAAATAAGAATGACTTCAGATGTTCGAGCTATTCAAATAGAGATTAATTAAAACAGTACTAAATAATTAAAACAGTACTAAAACTTCTACATATTTCCAGTTCTATTTTTTAATACTGTGGGAATTTTGTTTTATTATATTGATTTACTTTTGCTTCAGTTTTGATTTAATTGTTGCGCTCTACGGGTTCGTGGATTTGCAGTAATTGATGACAAAACTGGATGAAGAAACACAACACAATTTATTCCCAGTAGGCACTATTACACAGGACAGTTTCAAAGACACGTTTACATTCGTCGAAAAAACTACCGACAAACACTGAAAGAATCAGCAGCACAGCCTTCAAGCTGTAACGACCTTCGAGAATACTGACGAAAAAACCCCTAAGAATGCGTTCTAGAATGTTCTCGCCATTCTATTTCACGCCAATAAAGTTCTCTATTTCACGCCAAATCTGGCAACCTCGTGTTTTTCAGCCACTTTCTGGCAACCCTAACAGCGCATTGCGGAAAAGCTATCTCACCGCTCAGCCGCTGCGTATTTCGCAGCAATATATATATGGTGATTTCCTGTTACTAAATTTAAAACTATAGGAAGGTAATGATTCCAATTAATTTATGTCTTTCTTGTTTGACTGTATATATAGAGAGGAAAAATGCTTTACCTTTCACTATTCTTGTCTTTCTGCAACTTTATTTACATTTTGAAAAGCTATTCAACATAAGTGGCTTTTGAAAAAGCCCGATTCTGTTACCTATTCAAAAATAAGATCTTTCTTCTTCATGATGTTAGAAGATCAAATCCTTTGGCACAGATAAACACATAAACTTCAATCCAAACACAGCGATGAGATCCACAATATTAAAAGAAAAAAAAAAAAAAAGTCGCATGGTTTTCGTCCTTTTTAAACGCTAGTCTAACAAAGAGTATTTGTAAATATTTCTGGACAACGGATAAGTAACCTGCAAAACAAATTATCCAAACACGGAAAACGAAGCATTCAGCATATTCCGCCTTTTCAGAATTACATTTTTAGAAGCACTGCTTACAGTTGTAGCTTTGGAAAATATGACCATCAATCAGTGATTACAAAAATAAAAAAATCAATCACGTCACATATTTGCTCATTCATTGCGCTTCCCTTATGAGCTCTCTTGAGACTTGACTTGTGATACAAATTAATCAGAAACACACATTAAACGAGTAAAATATGTTCAGATACTGCTTTGTTCTCTTTAACAACTTCCATCGATTATCTTTTGCCAATTACCATTTCAGTGATTACCTATTCCAATTTTTGAATAGCCTCCTCCCATTTTTCTGAAAAAGAGTACAATATGTTGCCTTCTAAAAAATTTAGAGAAATTAGAAAACACAATCATACTGAAAATACTAAAGATTAAAACATTACATACACTGGATTTTTTTGGAGACACGAGCAAAATAAAAAAAAAAAAAAAAAAAAAAAAAAAAACCCTTTATAGGTAGACTAACCAGACGTTCCACTTTGACCGGGACAGTCCCTGTTTAATGATATGGTCCTTGCCTCCCAGCCAGTTTGTCATTTTGTCCCGGTTATTTGGTAAAATGTTAGAAGTGTCGAATATACATGAAGTAAAAATAGTGCAGACTCTGTTAAAACGGTGACCTGGTAATCAAAATACTCCGCTGTTAGCATTCATTGTTGCTAGTCTAAATATTTTGTATCTAGATCTATGTACTTTTAATGTTCTCTAGATGTTTTCCGTCAACATTATGACGGACGTTTTTCTTATATTGAACTATGCGAAAATAGTTTTGGTGGAGCAGAATCTTTTAGTTGGATACAACAGTTAATTAAAATGGTCTGAAATTGAAGTATCAGGTGAAAAAAAATAATGAAACTATCGTAAATAATACAATAAATATGAATCAACTTTGTGATGAAGTCGTGAAGGCCAAACTTTTTTTGTCAGCTAATTCTAAACTTATAAAAAAGAAATAAAATAAAAAAACAAATAAAAGCTGTGAAGCAAAACGGGTACAACTTTCCAGTCATTTCAAAGAAAAAACTTTTTTCCCAATCCCCAGTCTGGCTCAAATAACATAACAAACACATTTTCAGCTTGCGAGGAGCATCAATATCAATCGAAAGCGTATTCTCGATAATAAATATTACATGGTCTGAAGAAAGAGGTGAAACAGCTGAATCAAACTTAAAAGCTTGACAAAGCTGCAAACTCAACAGTAAATTAAATTGTATCGAACTTTTCGATGCGACTGAAAATAACGGAGAATTTGTAAAGGAAGTTAAATTAGTGATAAATACTAATAACGTCTTATTAGTAAGATAATGTTCAAATGAGTTATTAAAAATTTCTTTTAACTTACTGTCATTCTTTGTTAGCAAGCAACACCTTTATTTAATTTCCAGGCATAGGTTTTATTTTCTGTTCAGCAACCTATTCAGGTTTGAAAAAATGAAAAAATACCATACTATTTTTTAAACATCATACTATCATTACTATTTATAGATGTGAGAAGAACTCCCTTGCAACATATTAACAAGTTTCCTACTTGTGTTGCAGAATCTAGGATGGTGGCAATTTCCACCATTAAGTCTCAGTGTACGCAATTGAGTGGGAAAGCACGTGCGGACAAGCCGCCAGATGAGACCTCTGATGGTGAACAGTAAAATAGTCTTTACTGCCGATAAAAGAGACCTCTACATATGATATTGTCAAATGCCACCAGCAGGGCCGAAAGGGTTAATGAACGAAACAAAGAAAATCTGAGTAATTATGACCTCGAATCTAAACATTACCAACACTACAATAATAACAATAAATTTCAAGGATCTGAATTTTAAGTTACTTCTCTAGTTTGCCGCCATATTAAAAATGTATTTATGCAATTATTAGTTGCAAAACTTATCAATAAAACATATCCTTTGGGAAAGTGTTTTTTTTATGATCGGCAAAGTAAGCAAAATAAAAAGCTTGGGGGAGAGAAGCCTCTTCCCTGTCTACTTAATACAGAGAAACTAAGAAATAAGCATAATTTTTGCACTTTCAAAACGAATCACACGCTCGCCTTATTCAAAAATGATAAGCATTTCAGTGCATTGCAATAATGGATGAAAAATCTTACCTTTAAGAAGATGTTTCATTTCTCTCTCGGCATGACACGTTGTAAATGATCGGACAATATCTAATGCTGTTTGGTCATATGAATTAGGTTTATTTACATCAACTCCACTCTGAAGAGAAAAAAAGGTGAATATATATATATATATAAGGCAGACATAAATGGCATTAAAAATACAAACAAAACTCAATTACAATAACTTAAGGAACAAATGTCGTATTTGTACACAATTGCATACAGAATTAATATTTATATTTCAAACAGCCAAAATTTTATTTCAGTTTAGTATTATACATTTTGAACTCTTATAAAATGTCATATGAAAAAAATGCACTGAAGTGGCAGGAAAATCGTACAAATAATCTTATAGACAATGCCTAGTAATGCCAAATAAGCACGTCATTAGCTAAATCCGCCAGTGAGTGTATATAGGGGTATACATTCTTGGAATACTGCGCTCTAAGAATGCAAGCTATTACGAAATAAGCGATTTCTATGAGATCTGACAGTTGCATAATAGATTGTCTAATAGTGAGAATAATTTGGATTTTTATGTGTGATGATCATTTCAAAAGGTTTCCCGGAGAAAAAGTAAGCAAAACATCACGAAGAAAAGTAAGCAAAGGAAAAACATCGTCGTAAAAAACCATCGTTGCAGAAAAGAAATCAAAGCGGAAACATTGCAGTTAAAAAAACATCCTGGTATAAAATATCATGAAAATAAAAAAGTTTAAATACCTCACAGTTTTAAAACATCAGCGTAAAAAATATCGTCGTAAAAAACAAAGCACCTAAAACCATCGCATGATGATAACAAAGCAAATGTGTTTTTCGACTAAAATTTTAAATGCATATCTGCATAAGGGTTTGTGAGTGCAAGAAGGTATGAGGAAAATTTTTTCCCTCGATTTTGAATTCACTAATAAATTTTAATTGAGAAAGACAGAAGAAGGAAATTTCAGCATTCAAAAACTGAAAATAAGTAAAAAATTAATGCTACGAGCAGCACATAATAGAATTTTATACTTATGTAGTTTACTATTAAAGGTCAACACTTATTTTTTTCAAATATAAATTTGATTGAAATTAGGGCTGTTTAGATATTGCAAACATTATAATGTCATGATAAGTGCTGATTCTAAACTCTGATAACAACACACGAAAAATTATTTTAACGCGAAATCGATTTGCGCGATAAGGAGTTCCCACGAATTCGTAAAATGATATTACACCCAGTTTGTAGAAAATGATTAACCAAGTAACGAGAAATTTTCTGTCACTAAACTCCCAGTTAGTTTTAATTCGGCAACATTTTCAAAATGAGTAAAAAAAAGGAATTCAGGTATCGGCATATTCGAAATAAAATTGTAATTTCTCAATAAAATGCTGCTCATTTTGAAAGACAAATTGATTTCAGAGATTACTTTAACATCTCTAATTGGGAAAAAAAAAAAAAAAAAAAAAATTTCCGACACGTTACATAGAATCCCGCTTCATTAAAAGGAAAATCTTTTTCCTTCCAACTTTTTAAATTCTTTGAGGGGTAGGAAAAGGCAATTAACGTTTCCAGCCAAATTCTTGTTTTATTTACTATATCAGGTGTTAAAATGAAATTATTTGCGACAATTACACATATTTTGTCCAAGACGCGTGAAAAAAATGACCACCTCTGGTGGTTAGTGCCAGTGACCACTGCCCACAGAACACATCCCTCTCTATATAGTACTTGTGGAAACAGTCTTTCTTTCTCAAGCAGCGTGCAAACTTGGCATGTGTTGCATTCTCCCCCTGTTCTTGCGGGCTTGTTCTTGGTGCTGCAGAGTGCACATCGTCGTGATGTTGTCTTCGATGTCTGACGCTTATTTTCTTGAAGACGAATTGCTGCATCAACTACTGGCTTATGTTTATTGATTGCCATCTATTGAGCTAAAAGCGAACTTCAGAAACGGTCAGTCTTAAAAACCACTCACACAAGTGAGTAACACGTTCAATAGAAAAGGTGGTTATTGTAGGTAACCACCGCCCTTCAAAGAGTTAAACTAGTTTCATTCTAATTTCAAATTTTATAATTTTTATTCTGGAAAGAAATGAAGCTTCAAAAAACATATAAACATTGCTAAAATGATTTACAGCTATCATAGATGCCATGAAAAGATATATATGCAGAAATAAAGAATATTTAAGTACTTTCCAGTATATATCTTTTCAATTAAAAAAAAACACTCAAATATTTAAGACATTCAATAAAGACTTAAGTAAACGTTTTTTTTGGGGGGGGCGCAAATGGTGGCACATTCAGCTAACAGTCGGAAGCTATGTGGTTGGAATCCTGTTAAATATTTTCACGTTTCTCGATCCAAAAATCGTAACAGTCGAATTTAAATCTAGTGAATGATAATTCGTGACTACCTGGATTTGGTCGACTAGATCTCGTATCTCTTCCCAGATGTCTCCTAACCGGTAGAAAATAATGAATCATTGCATCCTCCCAAGGTGTACTCTCTGGTGTACAGCCAGTTTGTAAGGGAAAGATTGATGATTCGAATCCCAGCAATGAAATAGCTAACTTTTCGTGTTTTCTGTTTCGACCGCGGACCAAAGGCGTATTACTCAAATGCAGTTAGTAGTAACCAGGTGTAACCAGAAGACGAAAGTGACATCACAAGAAAAAGTGCGTATGCTATATTAGAATCACGTGACACCCGGAAATGATGCCGGGTGGTTCCAGGAAAGGAAATATGTCAGTAAACTCCTTGAAACAAAGTGAGCACCTGTTCTTAGCTCTTATAAAAGTTTTAGTAGAATTGTAAATTTTACATAAGAGAGAAGATCAAATGCAAAATTAGGGTTTCAGGAGATTGCCTGCGTATTTATTTTCCTGGAACCGCTCTTTATGGAGAATTGCAATGTAATTAGTTTTGTATAATTATCGGCCGAATTTTGCAGAAATATTGTCCTTCACTATTTCTCTACTTGTAAATTTACATTTTATATGCTACTTCATTCTAGAATAAGCTTCAAATTTGAAGAAAATTCACACATCGTACTGAATAACCTTACTTTCATAGATCTGAAGAACTTTAAGTTTAAAATTTTTACTTCATATCTGCAATTATTTTATTCTTCTTCTAATTAATGATAGGAAAAATTACAATTACCTGAAAGATTTGGAATACTGAAGTTCATGTTTTTACTGAATAATGAGAAAAATGCGACATTCTGTCGTAATTGACTAATACTCCGAATAATAAAATTTTAAGAAAACATCATCATTCGCGTAAATAAAATAAATACTTTAAAAAAAACATTCAAGAATCTATCGCAGATATCAACTTAAACGATTTACAAATATATTTTTTGGTATTAATCTATCACAGATATCAATATAAAAGATTTACAGATATATTTTTAAGTATTTAAATAACTCATAAGTTGAAGATAAACAGAAAACATATCGAGAATTCATAGACATTATACCAAAACTAATAAAGATAAAATAATTTCCAAATGTCTAAAAGACTATGGACAGCGCACTCTCAAAGCATTGGCGAAAAGACAACGACATCGCAAGTACGTTATTCCGTATAACACGAAAATTTACGTTCTAAATTTTAGTTGAACGAAATTTAACAATATGAAATTTAAATTTAGATTTTAGTAGCATGTAATAGTATGTAGCTTTATGATTTTTTCCTTCCTTCTCCCCAAAGTGCGAGATACATACGTACATACATGCATATATTTCATTATTCATTTTTTTCTCTTTAATAACGCATTGCAATAAACATCTGCTGGCAACAACTTGAAAAGTGATTCGGACACAAAAAAGTAAGTTTCGAGACTATTAACACCTCTAGTGTTAAATTTAGTGGGTTTACTATTATTATTATTATTTTAAAGAAATATCTTTTAGTGTTTGATAAGGAAACAAAACTTAGAAACACGTAAGTATTGCACATTTGGTGTTAAAAATTGGCATTTTTCCTTTTAACGAAATGTATTTTAATATTTGCCAAGGAAACAAAAACGTATTAAACTTCTGGTGTTAAAAATTAGCACTTTTTCTTTTAACGAAATATATTTTAATATTTGAAAGAAAACAAAATCAGGAAACACGTACGTATTTCAACAGGTACTACGCCGACATGTCACAAAAATAGACTGAAAGGAACGCCGGAGCAGTAAGCTGAAGCATAATGTTTAATAATATTTTAATCATTTTACCTCTATTTTTCAAATAAAAAATTATAAGAAAATTAACGTTGAACTTACAAATGTGTGTTTAGAAACTGTACTGTAATTTTTATATAATATAAAAAAAAAAAAAAAAAAAAAAAAAAAAAAAACAAAAATTACTCGTTTAAAAAAAAAAAAAAAAAAAACAAAAAAAAAAAAAAAAAAAAAAAAAAAAAAAAAAAAAAAAAAAAAAAAAAAAAAAAAAAAAAAAAAAAAAAAAAAAAAAAAAAAAAAGGTTAAAAAAAAAAAAAAAAAAAAAAAAAAAAAAAAAAAAAAAAAAACAAAAAAAAAAAAAAACAAACAAAAAATCGCAGGTTAGTATGAAAAAATTTCAACCTATATACTTAATTTATATTTCTATATAAATTTCCTAATTTTTAACAGTAAATCAAACAATATATCGAAAGTTAACAATCGAAAAAATATAATAAATGATACATTTTCGGTGAGCAAATGCTAAGAAAAAAATGAGTTCCTACAATTTTTAGGATTTCAATTGAAAAACACGTTATATTTCACTTAAATAATTTAAACTCGAGAGGATACACGAAAATTTAAAAAAGTAACTTAAATTTCTGGAAAGCACTTCCATTTATTAGTTAATTTTAGACAGTCGTAAGCTAGATCTAGTTTTCGCTAATTTCTGGAAAATTAAGATGCGAAATTTGGAAAAAACCCGAGATGGCCAGTTTCGTGCTGCCATCTATCGGCATATTCGAAACCAAACTCTTAAATTTGAAAGATATATGCTTCTCTACATTCTAAACCCTTAAAAAATCCTAAAATAGTTATTATGTCTTGGGTACATACCTACATAAAACGTAAAAAGAATTATTAATAAACTTAAAATTCATAAGGAAACTAAATTTTTCTACCTGCACATTTAAGCAATGAACAATTAACGTTTTTATTTGAAAACAAACGATTCCCTACTAATTAACGTCATGTACAATGTTAAGAGTCAACTTTGGTTAATTGCAATAATGTCGTAAAATGCTCAAAAGTGGGCAACTGCATCATATTATCGAAAAAATATTCTAAAAGAAACTTTATTATAAAGAAGCGCATTTATTGCTTTTAAACCGCTCGGTTTGTCAAGGAATGACAAACTGATTAGTTTATGATACCACTTTGTTTTATCCAATCTGAGAATTGGCTATTCGCAAAGCCGTGTGGAATACTGATTAAAAATTTTCGTTTCCAGCAATGGCAAGATTCACACAAGTCACGTGTTAATTCATGCTAAAGTAACAACGAACGTAACGCTCGTTCAGCTATTTTGGTAAGACATACTTGACGTCAAAACACGAACAAACTTTCCGTTCAAGAGAGGTGGTTTTATTCATTCACTTACGCATACGCATGCAATTATTTAAGCTCTATAATCATCCTTTCTTTGTTAACTTTAAAGTAATAGAAATAGTATGATTTTCGAATCTACCTTCTTAAATTTTAAAATACAGAAAAACAGGACTGTCCCTCTCCACATAGAATTTCAAGTCTCGACTCAGCTGAAAACTTTTGAAATGCTCGTTTTAATTTTTTTTTTAAATGTGGATTATTATTTAATTCAGATAAGAAAGCGCAGTTAGATTTTTTGTTAACTGTTATGTTACCCCATACCAGTAGAATATATATCAAATACAACTTTTTAGTATGTTTTACAGGTTTCATTAAGTATCATAATTTTCTTTCTATCTTTTCATTCTTCTTTCACTATTCACTCAAACAGCAACATCTGATTATCTGTATTAGTGGGCGAGCGGTAGAACTACTGACTACTGGTAACGCGATGCGGGCTTAAATCCTGGCTGGAAAGGAGCTTTTACGATTTTTCCCATATATAACGTTTATATGAACTATTTACCTTTAAAATTTCTTACACGAAGGCATCCCTACCTTTAGGCCACAGAAAGCCACTGTAAGTCGTAAGCCAGCGTGTAACTCCGTTATGCTGCGAATGATTTCTTCGTCACTCAGAACCTGAAAATTTGGAACGCTGTTTTCTATATTTATCCATTCTGAAGCCTGATCTTTTTGTCCTTTGAAATTATGCCTATGAATTACCGTATTTCTTCGCGTATTTTCCCTTTTTTGCTAATTATTCGCCCGAAAATCGAGAGAGGAAAATTATGCGAGTAATTTAATTTCCAAAGTTGAATAAAATGTTGAAGTAAGAGCATATCGTGGATAAACTACTAGTAACTATCGCAAAACTATTTCTTTTAGTAGCCTATATTCCAGTAAGAATACATAGTAATATTAACACTACAACATTTGACGGATGCTGAGCCGAGCACAATGAATCGAGATCAATTACCTTGTATGTACGAGGGGAATATACATGATTTAGTTCATGTGATCGCAGTTCCAAAGAGGGTCATGGAAGGAACGATAGAGAAGGGGGGGGAGACCCTCATTCCGAAAACTTGAAGACATCAGCAGTAGATTAGGCTACAATTATCTAAAACATAAATAACAGAAATAAGGTGAACCCAAGCGTTTGAAAAGTTTTCTAAGCACGGGAACACCTGCCACGTCGGGCACCTTAATATAGAATCTGCACAAATTACATTTTAAATAATAAATGAAAGAGACAATAAAATGAATGAAATGCTACTATAAAAATGAAAATACGATATACGGTAGATACCAGTTAACGTTGCTTTGCTTTTTAACACACGTAAACCACATTCTTTACCGTACCGTAATGCACAATAGAATGACCGTTAAATGAGACATTATTGATAAAAGCCAAATGATCAATCCCTGATAAATTTGTGAATGTTACTGATTTTCACCGTATTATTCCTAATATCACTACATTTTTGCAATTATTTCTTTAAAATGATTACCGATTTGGTTAATTCAGGCCTCCATATTGGTTAATAGAGATTCCGATTGAATAAAAAATCAAATTATTCTATGAATGTGCGAAATATTAATACGTGTGGCACAAAGAAGAGAACAAAACCATTAAAATGAAATAATTTACACGGCATAGTATGGCGTCTGCTCTCAAAATAAAATTTCACCCAATTTACAAATAATTATTATTTTTGTGATAAAAAATTCGTCGAACTTTCATATGAAGCTTGAAACGTTGTCAAAAAGTTACTGATTTTATTTTCAGATATAGTTAACCTTTTTGAAAACACAGCAATTACTTAAAAACTCTTGAATATCTATCATCACAAAAATTAAATATATTTAAAGTATAGCTGATAAAAATTCCAGGGCGAAACAGAATGAGGGTATGAGTGAGTGGAAACAAAAAATGAAGGAAATCTCAGAGAGAGGGAACCTTTTCACATGCACGCATATATTGATATTGCTGCAGGCTATTTTTGAATGGTTGGTTATTTGCATTTTAAAACGCTTGTGATTGAAAGAAATTTGCTACTTCTGGCTAGATACTGAAATTATTAAACGAAGAAAGGAAATAATAATAATAATTATAAGATAACAAATGAATAATAAAGAAAGGCAGCTGTATGTTTAGAATTTAAAAAAGAGCAAAGGGAAACAAAAGAGGAAAAAATAAGAGAATAAAGCCCCGAAAATTTTATTTATTAAATTTCAAAATAAACACAGAAATTTCAACCAGTTTTGAAGCAGCTTTAACGAGAAATACTAGCATACTTTATTCGCTTAAAACATTATTGTCGAACAAATTTCCCATCAATTTACAGTTTGATTTTCAACTTCATCAAGAACCTTGCAATAACATATATGGAATCGCACCTTTAGAACGAACTCATCTTTAACGATCAAAACGATCATTTTCAAAGTAGGGGCTCATCTTTCAATTTCTATTGAAAGGAAACAAATCATATCTCCTCTTCCTATTTTTTCAGCAATAACATAACAGCAGAGAAAACTTTTCTATCGTTTAATACCACGCATTGTAGTAACCTCTCAGTTTCAGTCTATTCCTATTACAATAATATGCTAATAACTAACCGACAGCAAACAAGTGCCACTGATATGGACCAAAAAAGCAGAAATTGTCTTCTCTCTCCACAGATGCTTAACTTACCACAGACAGCACATACATTTTGAATTAAATTGAACTAATCGATATATTTAAGTATTTTAACCGATAAGCAGCTGATAATAATGTCTTCTGTAGCATAAAAGAATGTTATAGCTTACCTCAATGAGCATGCGCACCACTTCTAACTTCCCATGCATAGCTGCCTCGTGAAGGGCCGTCCCACGTAAAGTAGACCGGTTGATGTCAATACCAGCATTCAGAAGCAATCTGCAAGGAAATAAATAATTTTTTTTTTAATGCTTTTCAAACACAGACTATTTTATTTTAATTAACTAACATTTCAAAGGGAGGAACAGAACTAGAAAGATTATTTCCCAGTTACTCTTAATAATATTCTTAACTGCAATGAATCCTTAATTCAAATTTTTAATAAAAAGTAAGTTGTCAAGAGAATAAATAAATAAATAAATAAAATAAAAATAAAAAAAATAAATAAAAAATAAAAAAATAAAATAAAATAAAAAATAATAATAAATAAATAAATAAAGACTTTTGTTTGTTAATGGCAACCGTCTGCTTTCTTACTATTCGTCTTTCAACTCACAGATTACGAGATTACAAAATAATATTAAGAGGAAAAGTAAGTTTTCTGAAGTCGTCATATTATTATCATAAATATGTTTCTACCGGAAGCAAGAATAACAATCACTTGAAATAAAATTTGACTATTATGGCTGCATTTTAAGAAATTACTAAACTTTTCCAAGAACAGTTTCGCAAGACCTTTAATGAAATTATTTCTTGCAAAACTTCAAACATTCTTAATACAATCGTTTCCAATTTTCGCATTAAAAAAAAATTGATAAAAATAAAGATTCCTCAATACTTAAAAGACATCAGGTGTTGTAAGAAGTACTTAAGAATGAAGATGAATTACAAAAATCAGCTCTGTAATATCTATCTTAAATTTTGCGCTCCCATTTCGGAAACCAATAAGATTTTTTTTTTAATTTCAAACTAATTTTTTGTACAAAAATTATACCATTAAATATATTTCTGAATTTCTCTAATTACACAAAAAGATACAACGAATTCTGAGACAACCTTTATATATTACTTTACTTATAATTATTTCCATCCAGTTAAGCAGAAATACAGCAATATTGCTTCGCTTCAGATATCTATAAAATATTAAACTAATAGCAATAAAACTGTTACTACTAATATTAGAAACACAAAAAATAATTCTCGAAATGAACGCTAGGAAAAAACGCAAATATCAATTTCACATCAGGGGGGAAAAACTATAAAGCAGAAACTTTGATATTAATTAAAGCTGAATCGATAAAAGTGCGCTTAGTGTAAAAATTACAGTTATCGATAAAATTTCGTTCAGCGAATTCCCATTCAGAATAAAAGTGCTCCCGATATCGATTAAATTTCGATTAATTAAATTACCTTCACCATAAAAGTTCTAAATATCGATGAAAAACTAAACAGTAAAAATGTCTCCTTAAAAAGTACGGGTCATTAATTATACTTTCTTATTCACATCGGCAAAAGCCCATTTCGCAAAAATTTAACCATTTACCATAATTGCCAATGGAGTAAAAAAATCATCCTTACAAAATTCATAAAAACAGAATTCTGTGATTTTATAAATATCTCACTGAAAATAAATCAGAAATATCTGGCAGTTAAAAGTCAATAATTTTAAAATATTTTATTAAAATGGCATTGGCTATACAAATTTAATGTGATCACGTTTCCCCATCACTATTTTGTTAAAATTAAACGACGAAAATATTCATAAAGTTTCTGAAAATTATTTTTTGACCATTACTGTACATCCAATTTAAGGAATTAAAGTTTCTGGAACGTAATTTTGACCATTGCTGTACCTCTAACCTGGAGGGTATCCCTCATTAAAAGCGATCATACCAATATAAAACAAATAAAAATTAGCCGCCCCCCCCCCAAAAAAAAGGAAGAAGCTTAGGTTTCGCTTAATTATTTTTATGGAATTCTTTTGCTCAGGAGAAAGGGGGAATAAAAAAGAAATTCTCAGATATTTTCTTTAGGTTGATCCTGAAGAAGAGGGTCCCGTTTCTGAATACCTTTAAAATTTAAATTCAATAGATCTATACAAAATCTACGCCGAACTAAGGTTGCTTTTCTTGCTTAATTTTAAATGGTTGATTAAAATTGAAAGCAAGTTGCTTGGTGGCTTGATCCCTCACTTTCTCTGTCACCTGACAATCTTAGTAAACTGTTTTAATTTTATTTGGCAACTTTATTTTAAAATGATTAGATCATGTTTACCGAATTCTGGATCACAATAAGAGGACTGTCCATACTTTTGTATTCAAACGGGCAAGATTTCGGCAATCCGATAACAATATCCGAACAGTAACATTAACCGATTTACATTAGGAGGCGTCAATTGTACTGCCATTTAAAAAAAAGCATAATCCTGATCAATATTTTTAGGATAAATTAATTTCTCTTTTACAGGATGAAACTGGAAAGCATTAATCGTACGTGTGTCAATCTATAATATTGCCGAAATAGTGTACCTTGTGCCTGAGCTAGAGTCTCAGTTACTCAGTTTTCTTTTTTCTATCAGCTATTTTACCTTTCATCTTGGGATATATTCCAGCAATTCCCGCCTAAAAGGCAAGCTTAGAGATATTTGTGACCGAGAAATTAGTCTACTTAATTTTTTTTTCAATTTTAAATGTATGCGAAAATTGTTAATTTAACTTTTATTCCACTTAAGTAAAAACTCTCTTATTAAATCAAAATTTCACAGCTGTTTTGACATACGACTCTTTTGCTGAAACTAGCAAACGCAATGAGTAAGCCACACACAGCATAAAAATGTCTCGTCCGAAATATTTTACGTACTAATCACGTTCGCAAAAAGTTCCCTCGAGATCATGCAATATTCATTGACGCTGAAATCGATAAAGTTTTTATGTACATAGATACACCACATTACAAATTCCGAAGTTTTAGTTTTTTAGCTATATAATCCTTTATACTACAGATTATGCAATTTTTTCTGTGATTTCATATCGCGAACGGTAAAAAAATTATATATATATATATGCATTGAGTAGAAAGTATTAAATACGTATATATACTAATACAGAACTTTTGGAAAGGGGTTATCTTAAAGCGGTGGTCTCACGACATAAAAAATTAATTTAAATGCCAAAATAATTAAATACTCAATTATTACTATTATTAGTGCTCTAAGAAATAAGAAGTTATTCTTGTGCAAGCTAATCATAAGACATAATTACTTTTTTTTAAATAAAACCTTTTAATTTACTTAATATTTAAAATTACTAACGACTAAACTCTTAAAAAACTGTAAATTATGCGAAATTATAATTATCAATTACTAATAAATTATAAGCTATAGCTTGCTCGCGAACTCTAATACAATTTCAATCATTGCGCTTGAGTTCCCATCTCTCTTACTTACTACTACTGAAGCAACTTTTCGTCAGTAAACGAATGGACATTTTGCTAGATAAGCCATCTCATCACCGAGAACGCTGAGGGTTACCGTATTGCTCAATTTACCAGAACGAAAAAAAATAATACTTTACTTTTCCTATCGCCTTATAAAACTACTAATTTTAATTAATACAAGAGACTATCAGTAAACGGATTTTAATTAAAATTATAAAAATGATGATGTACGGGAGCATATAAAAAGAATTCGTTCCTCAATCAAGTTCATAGTAGTTAAAAACGTGAGCCTGGTAAATGGGCTTTCCTGCAAATACATTTACTCTGCACATAAGATCGCTTTACAGGGGGGGAAACAAATGAAGGATGAAAGTAATGTACATAAAGTGCAGAATAAAGACGTTTAGTGAAATATACCGTAAGTGCTCTCAAAACAAAAATTACATGAACTTTAATACAATACTATTTTTCTAAAGTTTGTAAATATTTCGTTATACTTCACTGTTCTTTTCTTAAAAGCAAAAGGATGTCCTAACGCGTTCATTGTCTATTTCCGTATTTTCAGTGCTTATCTAGGTTAATTAGCACACTGATCATTACATTTTTTTTTTTTTTTTTTTTTTTTTTTTTCCCGGTAATGACATTTCAGCCTTTTCAAATACATATATGTTCAGATGTACATCTGTTTATAAGCATGAAAGCATGAGAACATATTTCTCTATCTCTTCCCCAACCGTCTCCAATCGCATATTGCTACAACAAACAGTTTACAAATGCTATTTTGCTCATAAATATAAAATTTAAGAGTCGAATTAAAAAATCGGGTGCAATAGTCACTTGATGACCAAGAAGAGTATGCAAGGATCAAATTTCCTTCAGAATAATGGTCAAAATTCAAGTAACGGTATAATTTTTAAAATCGGTACTACAGTACAAATAAAGCAAACTTTAGCTAATTACTGAAACCAGATACTTTTTGAGAAGGCAATTAATATTCTGTTCAGCTGAAGGACCAACCTCCAAGCCTTTCCAACTGAGGAGAGAAAAAAAATGAAACCCAAATATATTAGACTACCTATTATTAGGCAGACACACAAATCAGTATATCAAAAATATATATATTAATGTTTCATAATTCAATTTATAGGAAACGCAGACAGTTGTGATGGAATACATTCCCAATACTTGCACTATTTTTAAGCTCCACGATAAAGAAAAGTCGATTTTAAAATTTTTTTAATTTAAATTGGAAAATGACAACGAAAAATATCATATTTAGACGCTAGACATTGAAATCTACAAGGAACAACCAGAAACTGTATAAAGAGGAGTAAAAACGTTTGAAATGCTGTACAAAGTTATTTTACAAAATTTTAAAAATCTGATTACACACGACTTACTTGTACGCCCTATTAAATTACACACATATTTTGCTGCAACAATAAACTGATATTAAACACCGATAGATATTTATTAATAGACTAACTACATATATAAACTGTTAGACTTCGTTTCATGCCAAAAATTATTATTATTATTATTTTTAATTTGATAGTGCCAAACGTGAATATTTTCGTTATTTAAAAACACTTCTGTAATTGGAAATATATAATTGTACCCAAGATTGCGAAAATAAAGGCAGGGTAATTACTTTTAAGCCGGGTAAAAGGTACGCACAGATGTTTATATAAATATATACACACATACATATAGGCTTCGTCTGCCAATTGGAGGAGGGGAAAAAAGTAGATGCACAACTAGATGTAACAGAAGTCCCATATACA